CAGAAAACTGGCTCAGGGCCTGAGAATGGCTGGCGCCCCAGTCTTGCCACCCAGGAAACTACAGGCACTGCTTCACCCGAGAGCTAAGGGCTTTGACACCAATGGAAGAAAGGCGCCTTCCTCACACAAGCCTCTTCCAGGGAAAAAGAGCAGTGGGAAACCAGGGTGGGGCGGTGGCCCAGGAACAAGTGCCTCAAGGCTGGGACCCTAGCCGATGCTGGCGATGCCCCTGGCTGGTCGGAATGGAGTGTCACGCTCTCACCCTAGCCCTGAGGCCAGCCCAGAACTACCTGCTGTCGTCTAGGCCCCTTGGACCAAGTCTTGGGAAGTTCACTGCATGTTGTGCTAGTCCAGGGAGACTGGGCACCCAGGTACACCCAGACTGGGGAAGACAGAGGTCACGCCTGCCTGGGGTCCAGACCCATCCAGCTGCTTGGAGCTCAGGAACTAGGCCCCAGCCTGACTGCAGAGACTCCTCTGGTTACCCCTTGCAACCCAGGGACCTCCGGACCCACAGTGGGTAGCAGGGAAGAGCATGCACCCAAGAAGGCGAGCAGTCTGTCGTGTGGCCAGAGGGGGAGACAACCTTGCCTCCCACCTCCCCCAGGCGCCAGGTACCCGACTTCCCCAACAGATCTGGTGGCCGCCACGCACTCCCACCAGGGCTGCAGTGCAGCTCTGGGTCCATGCCCTCCCTCCCCATGGAAGCCTGTGGCCTGGGGTGCAAAGATTGGTGGCCACTGTCAGGCCTCCCCATGTGCAAGCCCAGACCCAGAAAGTCTCAAGTCCTGTCTGCCTCGGTTGATCACTCCCCCAATCCTTCCCTCTGCGTTCACCATTATCCCCGATGGCTCAGTGGAGTTTCCCCTGGAGGTAACCTTCCCCTCACCCCACCCTCCCATCTTAACTACTCTCAAGTCTTACCCCACCTGCCAGTGTAACTGAACTTATGGTGCTGTATGCTCCTTGTCCCTACCCCCACCACTGTAACTTATCTTAACCAGTAACACTCCTGCCCCTCCCCAAAAGATTTACCCCAACCTATAAAACCAAATCCTATCCCACCGCCCTTTTCGGCATTAGACCACCTGCACTCAGGTAAATCCACAGTCATGTTGCTCACACAAACCCTGTTTGGGGGGTCTCTTCATTCAAAGCATGCATTTTTAACAGGTATTGGTGCCTGGGGGATGGAGGATTGGCTCCGAGTCTCCAGCCCGCACTGTGCCAGGACACCCGAGTGAGCCTCGGTCCTTCCCTAACCCCACCCCACTAGGCAACCAGCCACAAGCCAGCTCCACAGAGGGCAAGGTGGCTGGGGCGGCCCCCAGCCCGCTGGGTGGGTGTCCGGTGCTGGAGCCAACAGGTACTGGAGGCATTGTCTGCCAATCACCCTCCTACTCCGAACTTGGGACCCATGACTGCCAGGGTATTTGGGCACCCTGGAGAGGGGCAAGGACTGAGGGAAGAAGAG